ACACCAATAACACAGAAATATTCATAATAGAGATGTGTCAGCAAACACATGATTGCAAGTTAAGGAAAAAAACTTTTCTGGAGTGAAAAAGTTTATTACTCAATATTCTTTGTGATTCTTAGTCATACTGTCCTAAAGCAGGGGGTTTCACGTTTTCAGGCTCTGAAATACAATTTGAGATTGCCTCTAAAACATACACTTCCTTCTGATCTTGGATTCTCTATATGCTCTAGAGCAGGGGTAGTCAACCTTTTTATACCTACCACCCACTTTTGTATCTCTGTTAGTAGTAAAGTTTTCTCTAACCGCCCACCGGTTCCACAGTAATGGTGATTTATAAAGTAGGGACAAAACCCCTACCGCCCACCATGAAAGCTGGAACACCCACTAGTGGGCGGTAGGGACCAGGTTGACTACCACTGCGCTAGAGGATAAGTTATCACTCTTTTTCTTAGTGGTCTTTTCATTGGAACAATCCAAAAAGCATCTAGAAATAAATAATGCTTCCAGGTAGAGCATGTAAATCAAAGGTCCATAACCCCCGCCCCCTGTCACGGCCTGTTTCAAACCAGGTCATGCTAGTGATGGGGAAACTCGTGCATGAAGCTCCACTTGCATGAGTGGCAGGCAGGCACATGTACAGGAAGCTCCACTTGCGTGAGTGGCAACCCCTTGCACTCACACATGAAACTCCATTCATGTGAGTGGAGGGCGTTTGAGTGCAGGGTGCTTGTGCTCACATGTGAAGTTCCACTTGCGCGAGTGGAGAGCACGAGCACAAGAGCTCTCCGTTCACACAAGTGGAGCTTTGTGCATAAGTGCAAGCGCCCTCTCATACGCAAAGCTTCGTTTGTGAAATGTGTTTTTTATATTTATTTAACATGTACCAGCTTTGTAGAACTGCAGACTATGTTAATAGTAATCTTAAAGGAAGCTGCCAATTTCAGGCGCAGTACAATATGTCTTATACTTTATACAGTTTCCCTGGTCCTTTACTTCTTAGATTCTGAAAAAGTCTGAGTAAAAATGTACCAATTCAATTTCAATCAAACATCTTTATAAAACATGCTTATGGGATTGTCAGATTGATTTTAGAGCCATTCCCTCTTTTATTGCCATTAAAAATTATTGCTCTACAAATCACCGTGGAATATCTATGTTAAAACAAATAATTTAGTTGCAGCTAAATCACATTATAATGTCAGTAGGCAAATGTGCACTTTAAAAAGGAGAGATTCTTATTATTTAGGTTATATTATATTAAAATGTTAAATCTGCTTAGAATGTTTATGCATGTCCAATTGAATTTTGTGTCACAGAAAGGCAAACGTTAAGCATAGCATTTATTGCCAGTCTTACATCACTGTTTTAAATGATACCTTATCTTTTCCGCAAAGGTTGACATAAATGATAAGGCTGTATATCAAGGTCACCAGCTTCTTATTCTAATGGCAGGGAAATTGGCTTTATTTCTGCAACATCATAATTTAAAGGTCGCAACAGAATCAAAGAAACTACTCGTGCCTATTCAAATATGTAAAATAATAATACATTATAGCAATATTTTCTATGTCAAAGGGAAATAATTTAATGCCTCATATAGCAAGCTTGGGAGTGGTGGTGTTAAAGAATTATTTTGAATAATGTTTTAAATGTTTTAAAATCAAATCTCATTCAAACTGTTCTAAAGTCCCATTTTATAAACTTACTATTCATGTTTTAAAAAATCATCACTAGTGAATTGTGGAATCTAAACTAATTTTTTGAAGAAACAAAATTGTCCTTGATAAATTATTTGATCCTAAGTCACTGATAAAATTTAATTTGTGATAGAGCCAACAGAATTCATGTTTAGTAATATTTTTTATGTTCTTTAACCCATTAAAATTCCATTTTAGAAAGGTTCACAAAAGGAACTCTTCCCTTGCATTGTGAGTTATGTTTTAAATCTTGTTATACTAGTGGAAGAGAAGATAATAAAAACTAACACCACAAAAAAATAGTTCAAGTTCAGTCCATCTTAAAACTGGCTGCTGCATGGGGAAAGGTGGGGGAAGGTGGGAAAGAATATAGGATGACATGAATATAATATGCGGGTTCAATTTTGAATTACTAGTTTGTACTGTACTAAACTTGAGGGATTTCCCACACAAAAGCATCCATCAACAGATACCTGAATTTTCATTTAGTTTCACATGTGAATTCAGCATCAGTTACAAAATCTACAAAGTGTGAGTACGCCATCCATAATACTACTATCTTAGCTCTCCTTTATTATAATTATTTGAAAACAATTGGTTGCTGTCTTTATGTTTATACCTCCATAGGCCAAACTGCAAGTAAAAGCAATTCATAAAGATATTCAATAATTTTTTCTCAATTGTTATTCTTACCTGTCTTCATTTTAATACCTTTTCAATGTACATTTCATTAGGAACTGACTTGAAACTAGCAAAATAATGTTATTTGTATTAACTCAGCTAAAAGATCTTTCACTTGTTCACTGCAAAATGTTTATGACACCATTTTTGTTTAGAAAAGATAAGAAAAAATATTTATTAGTACTGTTTGCAAGTACTGCAGCAATACAATAGCCTAAACCAAAGAACCAGAGAGATAGTTATATCCAACAGTTGTGGTAAGACCTGAAACATTTCTGGAATATTAAGTGTTTCTTTTAATAATTGATGCAGGCATTTTGAATCTTTCTGAATAGGCTATCAGGTGCAAGTAGATTGCATTAATGCTGCTTAAACATTTCAACTTGTCAGTATGGCTAACTCGATTTGCAAAGTATTTGCAGTATTTTCCAACGAAACAGTAATAAAGGTAAAATAAATATATGCCACTGCCTTATAATCACTGAACATTAATGAATATTTTATATCTTTTAAAATCTCACTGTTTAATTTTAAAGGATGAAATTAAGTCTCCTTTTATGCAATATGCCAATTATCTGCATATCAAACAATAACTCAACCATTATACTTCTTTTTGTTAAGACACAGGAAGCTAATTTGAAAATACTGGCTAGAGCTTTTGGAAAAATAATTGAATAGACCTTCCTGCCCTCTGGTGGTTGACAAGAGCAAATTCCACATACAATTAAATTATTACTGATTTAGTTCATATAACTTCCTAATTTAAAAAAATATTTGAATATAAGGAAGAAAATTTAGAACTAACGTCAGAAACTGAGGGTTAGTACATGGTCAATATAACAGTTCAATCAAAGATCAAGTTCAATTTTTGAATTGAAAGAAAATAAACCCATAATTTTGACTCATTCTGCACATAAACACTTCTCAAAATTCTACAGTATTGGAAATAGTTTATGATGGAGTTGATCCACTCTGAATATCATGGTGTTATTTTCTGGAGGATACACTGTTGTTTACCTTTAACTGGTGAGCAGTTCAGCCATACTGGCTCACAAAATTTGTAATAAAGCAAAACCTATCAGCACTACCAAATCAATCCTGAACTTATGCAATGCTTTAACTGTTGCCCCTGAAATTAATGACAGATATTTACTGAAAGTGGATAAGATTCTAGTGCAAAGTTTGAAGGGAAGAGTAATTTCATATTTAGGAATGGGGGACAATTTTATGGGAGACAATTTTACGGACCTTGGATAAATAGGGCAATCGTGTCTATTTGATATTTAATGGAATTGATTTTCATCAAAATTTGAAATGATGGTATTTTTTCAAAACAATTTTCCATTTGTAATTACATCACAATTACATCATCATCAGTAATTGTTTACTGAAAATAACATACGTTTCAATTGACTGGTTATATTGGTGTGTGTATATATATATATATGTATAATGTATATGTATGTGTATATATATTATACATATACATACACACACATATATTGTTGAGGGGCTTCAAGATGTATGCATGTATGTATCTAAATACATAGGTAATGATTTTTATATAAAGAACTACATAAGATACAAAACTATATTTTAGACAATAGATTCATATTCTTCATGGTGATCTTAATAAGAGTCAAAAATTATGTAAAGGAAGCACTATACTGATTTAATATCATTGGTACTAAAATATATTCAAATAAAAATAAATGAAATGAGGCTAATGTCCAAACCCTATAATCTTTTTAGCTATACCATTCCAGCATCAACTCCCATGAACAAAGCATGCTGCTAATACCATAACAATATAAATATAAGAATTGATAGTATTAAAAAAGTGATCATAATAGAGATCATTTCACACATGCATTGGCTTCTTGAGAGGCCAGCCACTGTGTTAAATGAGGAGAGATCTTTCATACAATAAGGAAAGGGGGGAAAAGATTCAAGAGAAACACTCACATTTGGAATCCTTGTGTATATAAATAGGTTGGAATTAGTAAGCAAAAAAAAAAAAAACCTTCAAAAAGCCGATTGCTCAATTTTTGATATACAACAAGGTTATGACAATATTGAATTTTTAGTTAAAGGCAATTTACTACTTTAGGAAGTGCATCTGTCTTTTCAGGACAAATTAGCAAGGAACTCTTCTTTGCAACATCACCCCTTGGTGGTTGTTTTACAGAATAACAATGAAATTGTTTTTAAACAGAAATCATTTTTTCTGCAATCCCACTCCTAATCAAGATTATGGCAACTAGCAGATGCAAAAAATACCTAAGAATGTATGAAAACTGTGTACAATTTTAAATAAAGGAAGAAGGAGCCCAATCAGACAGCCCTACCTCACCTTTGGTGAAGCTTTTTAATACTACAAGGCAGCATGCTCACAAACACACAACCGCTTTGGGGTAAAATTAATGCAAATGTTATATGTGGGTTACACCATCTGATGTACCTACAGTAATCTTTCATCATCCACTTAATTAAAAGCTAAAAACCTAATAATGAAACATGAAAGGAAGTATGCAGCCTGAATACATAAGCCCTCTTTAACAAAGCTGACACTAGTTATAATGAGCGACATTTATTCTTCAGCTGCGAGACAGAGCTCACCTCCTGAATGGTACTGCTTCCTGAGAAGTTGAGGTTGTACTCCCGCTGGACTTCTCGATGGGTGACGATCAGCATGAAGTTTTGATTTAATGATTCCTGCAGGGCACTGAAAGGGTTGAAAGAAAAACAAGAATATCAGGAGCGAACATGTTCTAACTTGCTTTACATTTAGCTGTAAAACCCCAGGAGTACTCTAAACTCTGCAGAGACAGGTCCAGGCACAATGTTATCGTTTTCTTTTTTGCTCTTAAAGGCAAGAAAGCAACTGGAGAATGACCAAGGGAGCTGACCTGTTAACTCCTTCTAAGGTAGTTGAGTATCTGAGGCTATATTTCAACTCTTTAGAATTTTCGCAACCCCATTCTTATTGCAATTATTGCAATATTGTATGCATACACACAACATCTATCTGTCTCACATACATTCATATTAAGAGACCTTTAGGCTTTAAATTACGTTCAAAGTAAAAGCTTTGATGATGCTTACACTGTTTATATATATACAGATAATTATGAATGTATGTGCCAAGTTTGTGTAAGTATGTGACAGCTATGTTTTTCAGCTAAGCATGGCAAATGTTTATAACTGCTGTCCAATTAGTTGCCAGTAAAATGTGGAAAATTCCAGGATTCGCTGATTATCTCAGGAAACACCAAATGAATTTTACTCTATTTCACCTCCCAATTTCACAATTATAACCAACCGTTCATCTTTCCGAGACAATCTGGGAAAAGTCAGAAATGATAAAATAATAAATCTCAGTTCTCAGAAATAGTAGGAATACTCATTCTTTCTTCCTAATTATGGACATTACTATCTCAGATGTCAACTTTTAAAAAGAAAATTATACCAAAAACAGGATGATAAGTCAATTGTTGAACATTCTTGATTTGGATAAATGTTAGAAATAATTACATCAACTGTCCTTTGTTTGAACTATTTATTAATCTCAGTAAATATAGACTAATAAAACAATAGATTCCAGAAAGTCCTAGTGAGTGGAAAGTATTTCAGTTCTATCAGAAGGTTCAGAATTATTCATATAAATTTATCAGCTCAGCATCCACATTAAATTCCTTGCTCTTCCAGAGGGTCCCCCAATCTACAGAAGAAAGGGTTAAGTAGGAGTAAGGAGACAAAAATCATGTATGTATTTCATATAAGCAATGTTCCCTTCCCTATATCATCTGGGAAAACTGTTATTACTGATAGAATATAACTGATAGGGCAAGCCACTAACATATAAAAAAAGAGCAAACCCCATTCCCTTCTATCATAGTGATGTTACCTAGTTTGGTAACGAAATGTCTACTGTATAAGAAAACAACCAAGCTGAAAGAACAACAAGAATTCCAAAGCTGTGCTTAGAATATCAAGTTTTAAAGCACATACATTCAACTGTACTTTCAGCATACCTCTGGTCCTGAACAGTATTGTGAAATTTCTTTCCATAGTTCTTTTATGTTAATGGAAGAGAAAATCAGTCAGCCAGGATTACAGGAAGCCATTTTATTCAGAATCTAATAAACTGTTATTTCCATCCTGGCAAAGAATGATGCGCTATTATTTGATTTGAGTTTATTTTAGTATTATTGCACACTCAAATTGTTTGAAACAGAGGTAGGGGAATCTCAGGCAGCACAATTCTATATATGTTTACTTGGAAGTAAATTGCCTTATTCTCATTTGAATGCACTCAGAAATCATTGTCCATAAGATTGCTGCTTAAATGTGATGTAAAATGGCTTGGTCAACAAAATATATTTAAAGTTAACAGTGACACATCTTTCCAACATAAATTCTGGTGATGTAAAGCAAAAAAACAATTGGTTCTTCACACAGTTACATTAATACGCATTATTCTCGTTAGAAAACATAACAAATTAGATCAGACTCTAATTTGCTTAAAAAAAATCTCCATTACAAGTACATTGTCCAATGAAATATTAATCTGATTCCAATAAAAGAACTCATTAAATCAGATACTTCTTAACCAGAGTTCATTGAATATTAAATTCAAGTATTTAGAACATTTTTAGTATCTATATTCTTGAGAATAATCATAACTGACAATGGATACCTATAACTACAGGTGAAACGGATACAGATGCACGCACGCAGGTACGCGAGTGTCCACACACATATATGCACAATTTTACATTAAGAAATGTATAATTTGGAATTCCAGTAAAATTCTATTTATTAATTACCTTATTTTAACCACTTTTTTCTACTGAAGTACTAAACATTTGAAAACTTAGTTATTAACAAGTATTGTATTGAAACTTACTGAAGCTAGTTTCAATAAGATGTTTTTGTTGGACAATAAGTCTCACAAACTATTCCATGGTATTATCTTCAGGATTAGATCTTACATCTAGATTTTCTGCATAGTTCTAAACATGGAATTGGAAACCATATATATAGCAGTAGAAAAATCTTCTTTATATGGGGCATGGGAAACAAATATTAGAATATATGTAAACTACATATGTCTTTGCCATCTCTCATCTCTTTTCATTATTAAAATTGCTAATTGTCAAATTAATAACTAATTGTTCAAAATCATACAGAAGAATCCTATTTGTTCAAATCACTGGAATCAATTGTTTTACTTGCTCTACTATATGTATCAAGTTTAAACTTACATATAAATGTTAACTTTGTAGGATAGTTTAAAAAATAAAAATAAGGTACTAAAGGTGTCAAAAAACTAAAACATCCTTCATTAATACATAGCTTGATTCAAGAGGCATTCAATATTCAATTTCTCAAACAGGAAATTAATGTCAACAGACTTTCTGAAAAAGGTATGTTAAGGACTGAAACAAATGTAGCATATTAATTATATAAATACAGATCACATACATGGATCTTCTTATATAAATAGTATCCACAGAAAAATGAGAATGAGTAATTATTTTCTTTACCTCTGATCCAATAAAATATCTTTTCTTATCTTTCTACTTGCATTTTACAACCATTAAAATCTTCAGATACTGAATTGAAATTTAGCAAAAAAAACAACCATATTTTGAGCTGCAGATTTTTAGCTTCTGCAACCTAGTTTTTTCTAATCTCATTCCCAACCCTCATCCCCAAAATAATAATATTTAGCTGTGCATCTATTAATATCACTGCCAGTTTAGAACATTCTTATCAAAAAAAAAAAAGCTTACTCTTCTATCAAAACGTTCCTTCCTCCATGTGTTGATATTATATGAGATTATCTTTGTAGGCAAGAAATAGAGAATCTTGCACAACTATGGTGAAACTATGAAGTGATTATTTCAATATGTTTCTCCGCAGCTTGCTTTAAAAAACCTGAATCCTATCTGAAATAACCTTGACCTCTGGAGAATCAAAAGACAAAACTGTTTAAACTTAAGTTGAGGATTCAGCAGAAGAATTGTTTCCTTCTTTCCTCTCTACATGAAGGTATCTTTTCCATCATTTCTTATAGTAATAATTTAGCACACTCAGCAAGCCAGATACCCCTACATTTTCTCCCTAAAAAAATAAATTGTTTAAGAGTCCTTCTGAAATTGTATGGAAGATAAGCACAAAGAACTAACTCCATGGGAAGAAAAAAAAAATTCTATCCTATTCCATTGGAAGCCACAATGAAAAGTATTTTATCGAGCTGTATTTTTAAATTAATATTTAGTGCAATACAATTGTGTGTGAGAAAGAGGGGGGGGGAATTCTCTTGAGTTCAGTGGATTTTAATCTGAGGCAATTAGTATATATTACATTATTATTCCAGTTTAATCCCAGAGAGCCTCTTCATGAATTTCAGTAGAAAAATATCCATTATTCATCATATCAATTCATTTTTCTTACCAAACATCTACATTTTAACAAAATATCATGAAACATAATAATTAACATTTCTATTGCAAACATTCAAATTTATACAAGCTTGTGTTGACAATCATCCAAATTTGCTGTAATTAAAGTTTATTTACACTAAAACAAAATATGAAGTCACTATGTAAATGTAATGTTTGTTGTAGCTAATGCAGCAAGCAATAGCAAATTAGTTTAAAACAGCAACCACTCAAAAAGCTTGTGTTTACTTTATATCCTGAATGCTAAACTATTCAGAGGGACTAATTCTTATGAGATGGTAGCTATATAAAATTGATAAATTAAATAAATATATAAATTTAGAAGAACTTACCTGCATTTAATAAGTTTATTTCACCTAAGGGGAATAAATTCTGTATTTTCTCAACCGCTGGGATATATTAGCCTCTACAATATGTAAAGTTATGTTTTGATTTCAAAAGCAGTTCTTTTCAGTTTTGAAAGTAGCTCATTATCTATCAGGGCATACTATTGTTCTAGAATCTAGAATGATTAAAAAAAAATCCCTCCTCTAGCCTGCTATATGCAATCTTGGGATACTACTACTGCTGTTTAATTTAGAGCAGGGGTGTCAAACTAGCAGCCTGCCAGCCAGATGCATCACACGCAGGCCACACCCACCCCAGCTCCATGAATGGGGAAAACATCATGAAACATCACATGACAGCAACATAGAGTATCTGGGCATTTACTAAAATTTACAACTGAATGTAGTAACAGCAAATAAAGAAAGCTGATTTATCAAAAAAAAAAAAAAAAAACCATCCGCCTAGGGGGGGGAAATGGAAATATTTCATGTGATATATAAATAATGCTAAAACCTCAGTTAATGTAATAAACGGTCTAGAAACAATGCTGGAAGGTCTAGTGAATAAAAAGATCTTTCAATACCAGTACATCCCACATGTACCAAAATGCATGTAAATAACCACATCAAAAAGTCTCCAACTGCCACATATTCCCCTTATCAAACTGTTGAAAGGACAATTCAGTTAGGATCACATGCAAAAAAAGTATCTTAAATCCCTTACTTTCCCTTTATTTTGAATTTGAAAAGAATAAGTTTTGTGCCATGGTATGTGCTAAAACAACTGATAAGTAGTCCAAATAATGTTTGAGTAAATGTTAGTTAATGCCATCTAATCAAGATGTCTTTTTTTGCTTTGCAAGCACACCTCTTTCCAAACTGCTTTAGCTTCAGAATTCTCACAACTCTCTAACCTTCATACAAATGAGAGAATTGGCTGCAGGCACAGACTTCATTTCTTGTAATCTTAACATTTATTGAATGTTCTTAATCACTCGAGTCCTACAGATTTGTAAATGGATTCTATCTTGTACCACAAATTTTCTAAAACAATGCTTTTTATTATTGGCAATTTCAATAATCATGCTTTGTCAAATGTAATTGGAGAAGCTATGAATGCAAACCCTAACTATGAAAAACTGCTGGTTTTGTTGAAATAATTTGGAATGTGGAATCATTTCTACATGGCTTATGCTCTTTATTTTACTTGTAAAACAAAATAAAAATCCTTAGCCCGACCAGTTTAGAAAATGTAGGATGAAAAGTACTGGGAGAGATCGTACAATTATTTAATAAAATCTCCTATTCTAAGGCAGGGTTATCATCTCTACCAGCAACTACCTTTCCATCAATTTACTCCATCCAAATACTAATTGCTCTTAGAACAAAGCTTAAAAATCCAGTAATAGCAGTGCTTTGAAAAGTGCTCATTTAAAATTTATTATGAGCTCTGGCCTTTGCATATATATGGTTTAAAAATAGTAAAATGTATAGAGTTTGGATAACCTCAAATATACTATTAATATGAAGCCCTATAGGTTACATTCAAATTTATTTGTGACTTACCCTGGCATACTTGATGAAGATGGTGGTGGCAAGTCGGGCGTTAGGACGTACAGGTTGTTGTTTTTGGGCAAGTGTAGAGTTTTTAGAATAGTCTACAGAAAAAAATATTTAGAATTTAGAAGTGTCAAAATGTTTCTATTTAGGTGTCTGTATCTGAAACATAAAGCCAAACTGATGCAAAATGTTATATATCATTAGCAACCACAATTCTGTGAATTAAAAAAAACACAAGTGAAGAGGAACAATTAACAACAAGCACAACAGGAACCTTATTATGCTCCTGATGAAAATCTTTCTCCCATGCACACACACACACGCAAAAATCCCATTGGTAGTAATAATTGGTCGTATTTAAATATTTTATTAAGTCTTGCCCTTAGTGGGTTTCATTGCAATATACAGTAACTGCATGTAACACATAAGGTACAATTTAAATAATGCCAGTCAACAAGCTTTCTTCTATTACCAAAGAAATCAAGAAGCTTTCTTCTGTCACTAATATCTGTATTAATTTCCAAAGAAACATAGCAGCCCTTCTTTATAGTAAAAAGTCTTACAGTCATGAAGCTAATTAATATTGTACAGGTTTAGTCTTCAATGAATCACGATGTTTCTATAATATGAAAAAGTAGCATGCCAGGCTTGTCTTATTTTCTAATAAAATCATTGCTACATTTTTACCTAGTAGGACTCCTGCCCACTGCCTCTTTTTCAGTAAAGAAAGACCAAAGACCACCTTGCAGATATTAGGCTTATTACGTGTGTTCTGTTCTGACCAGATTGGATGGCATTTGTAATATAAAAATATTCACAAGTATTCACTGATACCAGTATCTAAGCGATGCTATTGATCAAATTCAATGTCTGGAGGCTTGAGTACCTGGATGGGAAACAACAGGCATCACTTGAATCTCCCAGGTAAATCAGACAGGAAACATGACCAGGTGAGCAAATTCTATTTTATTGTAAGACCACATTACCATAATCTTATTTTGTTTGTTTGTTTTTCTCATTTCTGAACCACCCATCTCCCTCAGAGGAACTCTGGGTGGTGTACAAAAAACATTAAAATATAAAAACAGTATATAAAAATTAAGAGGTTATTAATAAAATTTCAAAATTAACATTTTCAGAAGGAGGCAAGAATAATTAAGCCCTGTTAAAAGTTGATTAAAAAGGCAAATGGAGGGCTCTCAGGGCACCAAACAGTTTCTTTTCTTTGTCAGGCAGAGCCATATTTTAACTCCTTTACAGAAGGCCAGGAAAGTGGGCCAGGGCCACACTTTGGAGGGGGAGGGGAGAATATCTTGCAAATCTGAAGGTACAAATCTCTTGCTGTCACTTTTAATCATAAGATTAATTAGGACAGGACCTTCCTAAATTTATTTCTCTGACCATTAATCCACTAGGGGCTCCTTCCTCTTGTCTGATAATTTCCCAGGAAGCATCTCTTTCCCTCATGTTTTAAAATAATTCTTGTATACCATTACACTTGGCAAGACCATGTGGCTTTGGGCTTTAGGGATCTTGGACCTTCCCATTTTTAGTACTGCACTCGCCCAAATAGACCTGGTGTGCAATTTGGGGATCCTTTGGGGGGAGGGGGGAGTTGGGAAGGCCCTGGGAGAGACCATGGCAGGAAATCCTTTGTTGGGACACAGTGTTAAAATCTTCAGCAAAAGCACCCTTTCTGAGGCCACTGTAATTTTGAGTGGTCGTTAAATGATTATTCATAAATTGAGAAATGCCTATAATTTTCCAGATTCTAGGCTTGATTTGTTAAGCTCTCCATAAATTTTACTCTTCTGAATTCTTAAGGGCTTCTACAGCAAGTTAAGACTTTATCAAAAACACAAAAGCTCCACCCTTTATGAACTTGCATGCAGTGTCACAAGACTAAAGATGCACAGTTTCCACTGCAAGAAAAATATGGCCTCTGCAGATGGCTATGCAAACCAACCTACTCTGTTCACTTAATGGGAAACTGTTACCTTAGGTATCTAAGGATTATCTGGCCCTTGGGTCCAAAAAGTTTTGTTATGTCTATCCAGATCACAGATCTATGACAAAAATTCCAGTGTTAGAGCTGTTTTACATTTTATCTAGAGATCCCAAAGACCAAGATCTTCCACTTATAAATATGTCTACTCTGTGATCCTTTTTATAGCAAATTAATTGTATGTTGTATGTCACTGGTGGAGATATATGCTGGAGCTGCACCTTCATGCATGATTTATGAATCATAAATCCAAAGGCACTTCTGAAATGAAGTTTCCCCACAACCACTATCTCACCATGGAATGTAAGTACAGCACTGATAATAAATTGCCATTCAGTTTCTACTTGAATACATAAATTTATTTCAGTAAATAATACACTGGAAAAGATAAATCTTGATTGTTATATTACCAGGACCAAGGCAATATGACTAAAACACAATCTTCATTATTTTAGATTTTTTCTGTCTTTTTTCTTATATATAACTCAAGGGTGCAAACTTATCAATATTTCATCCTCCTGTTATTTCCCCTACAACAACCTTGTGAAGTAAAGTGAGTCAGGCTGAGGGAGAATGATGGCCCAAAATTACCCAGCTGGTTTTTCATACCTAAAGAGTGACTAGAACTCACAGTCTCCTGGTTTCTAGACCAGCACCTTAAACACTGCACCAAACTTGCTCTCGATGTTACTTCATGCTTCTTTAAAAAATGGGCATGCTACAACTCCTTCTTCTTCAGAGAAAGGTGGGATTATCAGAAAATCAACAGGAGCACTCAGCTGCACACACAGTGCTAAAAAGTGCTTGGTTTCAATTTAGAGTATAGGTGGGAAATGCCATTCAGGAGATGGGCGGAATGCCATTTCATGGTTGTTTTGACTGAGTTATTTACAAGTGGATATCAGTTGGGCAAAATCTATGATGATAAAGAAGGTACCGTCTTGTGATATGACTTGGGCTTCTTTGTAGTTTGTGGAACCCAAGGAACTGGAAAGAGTTCCCTGCCACCTGTGTCCTGGATCCATTTCTTCCTGACTATTTCAGGCAGCTAGATAGGACACCAATGGGTGGATCAAGAAGGTTATTAATGTTTCTTTGAGGAAAGGGTAATGCTTCTTGCTCTGAATGAGATGCTTATAAGCTCATTCTGGAAACCATTACTAGATCCAGCTGGTTTTGATGACTTCTGTCCCTATTTCTTTAATATTCTTCCCCACAGAAATATGTGCAGCTCCCACTATTGATAAACAGCTGAGTAATAGCTAGTTAATATGCTTTAAGTTCCAGTTGGCAGATTATGAATAACCAATCTTGGATTTTATCACAGCTTCTGTTTTTGCTTTCCTTTTGTGGTTCATTTTTGTTTTAATATTGGTTTGGATTTAATTATTATTTTTGTCTGATGTCATAGACAACCCAAAGTCTTTGAGACGTCGGCAGCTTATGTAATGTTGATAAATAAATGAATACCATATAAACAATGATGTAGATAAGAAAGTATTTATAATAAGATAGATAAATATTTCTATTGCTACTTGGAACAGGAATTAAAGAAGTTGTAAGATGATAGTTGAAAAGATCTGTTTCCTATAAGCTTTTCTCAATCACCGATAGTACATTAAAAGAAGTGCTATCAGAATGATACACACACACACAGACACACACACAGAGAGAGAGAGTCCACCATTTCTTAAACTCTAAAAGCAGATAGATACAGATGACGTATCATGGCATGGCCCCATGAACAGGGTTTTACATGTTTTCTACCCCTTTCCATTGAGGTAGGGGTGTGGAATTCTCTATTTTTAACACAGTGTACAGGTAGTCCATTCAAAGTTGCAACATCACTGAAAAAATGACATGACTATTTTTCACACTTGTAGCCATTGCAGCATCTCAGGGTCAGGTGATCAAAATTCAGACGCTTGGCAACTGACTTATATTTATGAGAGCTGCAGTGTCCTGGGATCATGTGATCACCTTTTGTGACCTTCTGACAAGCAAAGTCAATGGGAAAACCAGATTGACTTAACAACAATTAATAACTGCAATGATTCACTTGACAACTGTGGCAAGAAAGATCATAAAATGGGGGCAAAACTCAGTTAACAAATATCTCATCAATGTAATTTTTGGGCTCAGTTGTGATCATTAAGTCAAAGACTATCTGCATATCTTGTGTGTGTGACCACCAGAAGGTATCATGTCTTCCTTATTGGGAATCTTGAGATATAGAATATTAAAAGAGAAAACTTGTAGTGAAGGAGCAGAATATACTGCCCTCAATAAAGTCCAAATTAACTACTGTCAAAGTTAAATGTTATCCTTTGTAAATATTGTGCCTTCATTGTACAAGCCACCGTGTCACTTAATGCAGAATATTTTAGACATTCCTAACGTATCAGCATTAGTTGGCAAAATTGGAATTAGGTGGTCCATTGGAAAAAATCCTGTAAGAAATATAAAAACTTACACCATCATCTACATCCCCAGTCTTCCAGCCCTTTAGCAACATTTTGGGTGCAGGAATCTGAAGCTCATTTTCTAAAATATGTTTGATCTCTCCTGGAAAAAAAACACAAAGGAGAATCATCAAAAACATTTCTGATTTTTATGATTTATCTTTATAAAGCATAGGCGAAATAAAGTCTAAGAATCCCAAGCATTATTCAATCAATGTATTTTAAACATGTCTTTTATTTTAGTTTATCTCCATAAACTCATACATAATAGCATTAAAAAAATGGAATACTGAAAAATGTTTAGGATATAAAGAAGAGAAATGCAAAATAATAATAGATTTTACTTGAAATGCTACTGAATTTTGATATGGTTTTTCCCATCTCATGTAAAATGGATTAAAGGAATTCATTTCTAAGTTAAAACAAATAGATCTTTTGGTATGTTTAGGGTATACAATTTGCACTAGAAATTTGCTTTCTATGATATATGCTTTGAGCTCTAAAAATCTTCCTAAATTGTTTGAAATGTTTAAAATTTACACATAATGCAACTACACATTTACCATCTTAGCTAACAGCTGCTTATTGAGGCCAAATGCTTTTTCAGCTTGGCATATTCCACAATGGGATTCCTTCTTTCCCATGGTTGCTACTTCAAAAGTTTGAAGAAGGTATGTGAAGACCGGCTCTTGGCTTTTCTACATAAATGCGTTCTGTTCCATCACTAAAATTTGGTCCTCAACATCACTCACGGATAATGTTAATTAACTGTTTTTATTGCTGTTAACAGAGCTAAAGGCTAAATTAGAGCAGAATTCTTTCCTTAAAAATCCAAGTTCCGGATGATTTTAATTATTTCTCTATTCACATGATATATGTTCCTTCCATCTGGTGGGCATTTTATGCAATTGCATCACTAGAAAAAAAAAAAGTTAAAATCTGACTTTGAGAGAAACATTCATGCACATAACCCACAGCTGCTTTTGCAGGAATGTGAACTGAAGTTGTTAAATTTGCTATTAAAAGGACAGACTTGAATATGTCAAATAATTATTAAAAATGTTTTTAAAAATAGCAGTAGTTTCATTGCATGCATAGTTGTTGGCAAACCCAGCTTTGCTACTGTATAATATGTGAAATGACCCTGAGCAAGAGACAGATGGAAGGGATTAAAATACTATTGAAACACTTAATGAAAGTATGGCCTTAGTTTAGTAAAAAGTGAAACTTAGGACATCAAAACAGAATGCAGTCTGGTTAGGTTTTTTTAATTACCTTTATCTCAATATATATTTATTTTTTCATGTAAATCAACATAACCTGCTTAACCTCAGAGATACTGTAACTAATGTTCATATATATTTTATCTTCAGAATATATTTGCACATATAGAAAACTACTTCAGATGATTATGGAATTATGAGCAAAATCTCTATAGATACTAATATTTTCATATAGTTCCCTGGAAAATATTTTTTCAGAAGGAAAAATGCATACTTTGTTCACATGATACATATATGTCAGAAGGTATCATATTTCACCCTTTCATTCATGTCAACACAATTGTCTCTTAAATCCTGCTAGTTCTAGAAAATAAATCATCAACTTGTATTAAAAAAAATCTCTTAAAATATAAAAATCCTCTACCTGGTTAAAAATGAGCATCTTATTAATCTATCAGCTGAAGTGATCTTTAAAACATTGATATCATTTTCTTATTTGGAGCTGTGCAAAATCAAAAATGAAACTGAGAACTTGAATTTCAACCAATCTCAAAACAAGACACAACCCAGTGAAGAATTGAGCATAATAATGAAGTGAATAGCCAAAAAAGTACCTGCTTAGCAAATAAAACATATATTTGCCACTAGGTGTCACTCTTTGATTATATATTACATACTCTTTTTTAAAAAAATATGTTCTGGACAAACATTTGACACAATATGCTTATGGTTTTTATATTGCATTTTAAAACTAAATACACCATCCAAAGTCCCTCTTTGAGAGAAGCAAATGGTTCAGAAATGTGAAATATAAATAAACTAAACAAACACTGATTTTCAAAGGAAACATTTGTTTGATATCACTAATCATATAGAGTGGGCAAAACTGTTTTAAACAAATACAGTGGTACCTTGGTACCAGAAGTGGTATTCAGTAGGTTCTGACCAGTTCTGAAGAACCAGTAGCAGAAATTTTGAGTAGTTCGGAGAACCGGCAAATCCCACCTCTGACTGGAGATTTTACAGTATCCTTCCCCTGCCGCGCCCACCAAGCCACGCCCACAGAACTGGAAGTAAAAAAAATTGAATCCCACCATTGCTTGGTACCCATTGTTAATTGGTTCTGGGAGGCACAATGTGTACCAAAACCAATCAGTACCAAACATAATTTTTCCAGGAGGAATAATATAGTGAGTCACAAGGCAGCCGACACTGACAAGTTCTAGCTTGTGTGCTGAGTACCAAACAAACGATGAGTACCGGGACAAAATTTTCACATCAAAACGTGTTGAGTACCAAATTTGATGAGTTTTAAAGCAGCTGAGTGCCAAGGTACCACTGTAATAAAGTTGCATCTTCTTTCTACCTAGTTTCCCTAGGGAGCAAAATAATATATAAGTAACATGAGATTAGTAGATAGGAAAATTAGATGCTGTGATACATAACACTAATTCCAGCACAGCAAACACCCTGTCTGAAAAGCGTAATGGTATAGTTGACAGCATAATAGAACTCACTGCATTTTGTAAATCAATGATTCCATGATGACTTTATAATGAGGGCAGAATTCCCCCCCACCTTTTTTTGTCACGGTGATATTTCTCTTAATTATGGTACCACTTCAAGCACAACATTTTGTAATCTTTAAAGCTGAATTTAAAAGCATACATGCTCTGTGATTCTCACCTGATATAACAGAGATATTATACATTGCATTAACATAGGTTCTGGTATCTTAGATCATTATTTTGGCCCATCATACAAGTATTAATTTAAATACTTAAAGAACACAGCCATGTTTTTCCCCAGTCCTTGTTTCCCAAGACTAATACTAACTTTACAAGTACTGCTTTTATATAGCTTTTCCCTCCCCTCCCCTCCCCCTTCAAAGAAGTACATCAGACTTCAGGTCACTTATGGCTGAATAAATCTCTACTCTTTCAGAAATTAGATAAAAAAAAAGAAAAAGTTTTAGAGCAATTCATTTATTTAAAAGATTTATATAACTGCCCATCTTTTTAACATAACCCTGGCCAGCTCAACAGACAGTAATAAAACACTATTAAAAAACATAAAAACTACCGCCAACACCAACAGAAAGCTAGATAAACTGCTTCCTTGCAGAAAACAAATGAGTCATGTGTACAAGCACCTGGGTACTACAGAGCACACTGAGATCACCCTCAGGGTGAAACTGTAAAACTTTTCCTCTTGTCCTTTCAGGTCAATGGACCTTTGGCCCTGCTTTTCCCAAGCCTAAGAGATTGGAATGCACCTGTTGTGTGTTTACAAATCAGTTCTCCCTGGCCTTACTAGAGCTCTGCCAATTTCAGCTCTTACCCATATTTGTATTACAGTTAAATTTGGTACTTAAGTTTGGTCTTTTTTTGCCCCTCAGTAGTTTCTTACCAACTGTAGAAGTGTCTTCAAGCACCACATCCACATTTCGATCTCTGTATTCCACTATGAAGTCAAGCATTCGGGGTTGTCTCTCCACTATTTGTCTGGATGGCACTACGGGACGAAATGCAGAAGAGGAGGAAGATGCTGAAGACGATGACGAAGGATGACTAGCAGGACCATAGGCAGGCCTTTGTAAAGATTCTCCACTATATTCACTGAAAAACATATCAGTTTGGTTTCAAATAAGGACAATTTTCCAAATTTATGCATGCTTATATGCTTACATGTATTGATATCAAATGGATGTACTTGCCGTGGCAAAGGGCTTGGATTTGCACACAGACTATGTATAAGGAATTAATAGAACTGTCTGAGGTAGTCACAAAGTAGTTGACAAAAGGCTGAAAACTGAAAATGAATATATTTTAAAAAGTCACTGGATTAGAGAGAACTGTACTGGAGTGTATTAAATATCAGCAGAATATGATACTTAGGTCTACACCAAAGTGTTCTGAACCAGCCCATGGACAAGAATCAATCAGAAGACCTTCATGGAATCAGTCAGAAGGCCTGTATAGACGCAACATGATGTCCTTATATAGATGGTAAAAGAACTGCCTTATAAAAGGTTGTGAAAATAAGCGAACTTGTAAAATACCAAAAAACAAAGTAGCAATAATAATGATGTAATCGGCAACCACTAAGAATTTCTAAAGCAAGACTTCTTGCCATATATGAAAAAAACATATAAACCACAGGTAAACACTAAACACTTGGAAGCTGGCCAAAGACAAAACATGGGGCAGTTGAATATAGAGGAGTCTCTACTCCTTTCTTCTCTATTCATCTGGTCAAATAATCAGTGTAAGAATTAAGATTCCATTTACAATCAAGTTACAGTTGAAGATCAACCCATGTTCCCTACTCTGTCTTATTTTTGCTTTGGGCTAGCTTCAATTGTTTGATGACATGAACGTCTATCACTGACTGACTGACCGAGGCCTGATAATAGTTAACATTAAGTTTAATATTAAGTTCCATTTTGCTTGGGTGTCACATTTTATATCATCTCAGTTATATCTCATACAAATGAAATGGTATTGTAATGTATATGAATTTTATGCTGATTTTGCCATGCCTTAATATGTTTCCCTAAAGTTTCTGCAGACTACTTGGTTATTTTGCTTTTGGAGAATCTGTTAAATAAATTTGTGTAGCTCTTAGAAACTAAAGTTCTTCAAAAAAACTGGTTTCACTTTATGAACATTTTAGGTTACTTCCATGAACAGTACTGAAATGCAACCACAGTTGGTAAGCATTTTGTTCCTTAACAAAAGCCTTTTGATTTTCAGAATTATTTGCCATAAATAAATAGACCTCCAATTAATTCTGCTAACATCCTGACCTGCAATAATCTTAACAGTTGTCAGGATTTAGCCTATCTTTTTTACCCTAGATGCTTTACAAAAGCAAAATTATAATTATAAAATGAAATAGATGCTAAACTGAAAACAATTTCAAATTTGCCTTTGTATTTGAAAGCAATGTAGTATCAATCTGGCTATTAAATAAATTTGTATTAAATAAGTACAAATACTGCAAAATGGTGGTATATATCACAATAACCAGGGGTGGTTTGCTACTGGTTTGGACAAACCCTTAGTTCCGGTGATGAGTTGGCCCCGCCCACCTGCCCCTGCCCTACTCTGTCCTATATTTCGTGCGGCACAGCGGATTGCCCCACCTCAGCTGTTTTACTAAACAGGGCTGCAGCAGAAGGTATGTTTTAGAGCTGAAAATGGGTGATTTTCAAATGCTGCGCAAAGCACGTGCTTACCAAATCGGTTGTTACACCAGTTGAATCCCACCACTGACAATAACTGACTTTTGTAATTCACTATTCAGATTGGTTTATTAACAAATCTGTAAAACACCTGATAAGACAAAATGATAGAAATCATTTTGATCCAATTTGCAAGTATACAAATAAAATATGCAGTATTTCTTCCTCTTCTTTTCCATATATAAAAGTAGTTATGGAATATAATTAACACTGATAATACAAAACACATCCCATCCACTAAAGGCTACATTAGGTTCCTGGTTTTTCAAACATTTTTTAATTTTGTAAAGCCTATATGGCTTTGAACAGGGATATACAATTTGCAGCCCCTCAGACTCCAGAACCTCTTCAAAACTTACTAATTTTCATGCCATATAAGGGGGAATTAATTGCACTGATTGCATTTAATATTACTATATTTTAAAGTAGCTTTGTCCTGTTCCTGTCCACTCTTTTTATCCAAGGAGTTTTGGTTAGGGTTAGGAAATACTGTGGTATGTGTGCTCAAATGCTTAAGAAACATTGCACATTCTTGGCTTAAGCCCAATTATCTATTAGAGACTCTCTCCTTCCCTTTGTTCTGCAATGCTCTCATATGATGTATCATGGCAATACCAGCTGGTCTCTCTGTCTAAATGAGAAAAAACTACCATCATGGTTGCATACACACATAAGCTCTACTTGCAAATCCCTTTCCCTTGAAAACAAGGAAAGCAAGCAGGAGGAAGACACCCATTTGGGCACAATTATTATTTATTTTTGAACAAATTTTTCACAGGGCACAAGGAGATTATATTTGTAATTCAGAAAAGATATTTAAATATTTTTCCTCCTATTTCTAAATTGTAAAAAAGAAAAAAAAGATTTTTCAGCAGTGTCCTACATGGCAAGGAAACCATGAAAAACATAGCTTCTGGAATTCCTTCCAATCCTTTACCAACAGTGGCCATACATTGCTTGTTATTATGCATGGGAAGGCTTCCTCTGGGTCATGTGATCAGAAAGGAGAAAGGAAGGAAATACAGAATGGAAAATTCAACAGCATTCTGAGCCTCTACCCACTCCCTCTCATAGTAGGATCTCCTGAAAGTGTTTTTTTTAAACTCAGTCTTTATTTTGCTTTACACCATATGCGATCCTATTCTCTTCAGCTTTTGAAAAGTTATTTGGCTGAAGAACACACTGATCTGTCCACCTTTTACATAAATGGTTTCCAACACACTTTGGGTCGGGAAGAATTTTTTTTAAAGGTATATGATTGAATAAGTCCCTGCTCATTGCTGTTCATGCCTTTGTGGCCTCCTGTTTGGCCTACTGCATTGCACTCTAAATGGGGCTGCCTCCAAAGAGCATTTGGATGTTTCAATTGGTGCAGAGTGCAGCTACCCAAGTAATAAATAGTATTGTCGAATGTACTTGAAGGGGACATGGTGGCTTAGTGGCTAAGACACTGAGCTTGTCGATCAGAAAGGTCGGTAATTTGGTGGTTTGAATCCCTAGCACCGCATAATGGAGTGAGCTCCCGTTACTTGTCCCAGCTTCTGCCAACCTAGCAGTTCAAAAGCATGTAAAAATGCAAGTAGAAAAATAGAGACCACTTTGGTGGGAAGGTAATAGTGCTCCATGTGCCTTTGGCGTTTAGTCATGACCACGGAGATGTCTTCGGACAGCGCTGGCTCTTCGGCTTTGTAACAGAGATGAGCACCACCCCCTAGAGCAGGAAACAACTAGCACGTATGTGCGAGGGGAACCTTTACCTTTATCTTACTTGACATACATAACATCAGTACTTTCATGAGTTACACTAGCTGTCCATGTGTTTCCAGGTGCAATTCAAGGTACTGGTTGTCACCTTTAAAGCTCTTTCTGTTTGGGGCTAGGTTACTTGAAGGATTATCTTTCTCCAGTTGTTTCTCTCGGGCAAATTCAATCCAGCAGGATGGGCATGATCTGAGTGTATTAATCTGAGCCAAAATTGCCAGTTGCTGGAGCCCAGGATATATGCCTTTTCTGCCATAATTCTTGCTAATTACATTCTTTCACCAGAAATGAGAATAGCCTAGATCCATGATGGAGAACCTGTGGCTTGCAGAGCCATTTGTGCTGACACATGAACCGCAGGCAAACTTAGCTCACTGCACATAGGTGCACCTCACAGCTGATTTTCGGCCTGTTTGATGCCTTTTTCGGACTCCCAGAGGTTTGAGGAAAGCCTTTGCAGGTCAAAAAATAGGCCCGTTTCATCACTTCCTGTATTCCCGGAAATACTGGAAGTGACAAAATGGGCCCATTTTTGGGCCTACAAAGGCTGCAGAAGCTTTTCTCACTGGGAGGCTGAAAAAGGCCTCAAACGGGCCGAAAATCAGCTGGGAGGCGCAGTGCAGGTAAGGGGGCAACGTGGGGAATTGCATGCGCATATGCGGGGGCATGGGGGGATGTACATTGCCTTCTGGGTGCTGGCACATGAACGCGTGCATGCAAGCACGCACACAATTTTTGGCACAGGAGCCCACAAAGGTTAGCCACCACTGGCCTATACTCTGCTGGTCTTTTGTAAGACCCTAAAACCTGGTCTGATGCTCGGCCTTGAGTGTGTGAAGGGTCCTGACTTTTGGCTCTACTAGTGTCTGCCTTGTGACATCTTGCTCAGTTCCCATGTATTATAATTTTTGTATTTGTGACAGGAATTATGTTCAATATATTTTAAGATTGTTCACTGCCCACATTCATTTGTTGAGATGCGTAGCCATGCAAATTGAATAAATCTTATTTATACCCCTTTATTATTTTTACAAATAACTCAAGCCAACGAACATATCCAACAGACCTTCTTTTTCCTATTTTCCCCACAAGAACCCAAATAAATAAATTTTAATTGTTACAGAATCATGAGTTATGAATTTAAAATCCTTGCTATATTAATAAGTGTACCAACAGTTTAAAATGTCTTCTCTCCTATCTGTTTTTCAAAATAGGAAGCTTGTATTGAGCTTCTGGTTTTTCAGATCCATCCATCCAGTGCAAAAACGATAGGCAAACGCTTACAAACAATCACTCAGTCACTGTTAAACTGAACTATGGCAGCAAACTGTTGCTGACAAATCTGTGCAGTTTTAATATCAGAACATTTGTCATCTTAACCATCGGTTACAATAATTTGCATCATTCTGCATTACAAATTATGTTTGAGTAAAGGGGAAACAAAAAACAGAACACTGTGATTCTTTTTTACACAAAACCCCCTTTTCTTTCTTGCTAATCAGAAAGAACAAAGGGTAATTCTCAGCTCCAAAGCCATGGGCAGTTTCAGAGTTAAGATGAACAATGGGCGCGCTGTGTTTAGGTGTATACATTTCCATGCAAAAATAAATTGGCCCCAATTCAGAGATTTTTCTGTGCTGGAGTGGGAAGCAAGAAGACTACTGCTTGTGAAGACCTTTCCGGCCAGATGGTCAATGCAGTTAGCTTTCAAAACTAAGCAGAAGAGGAAAGGGGTCAGTCCTCATATTCCCAAACCACACTGATCCCTCTGTTTTTGGTTCTGTCTGAGTTTGTATGTGTCCCCGTAAATCTGCAATTCAGGAACACAACACAAGCAGCCTGACTTTGCAAGCACAATTCTCTTTCTCCACACAGCACTCTTTTGCATTTATTACACGGACAGTATTTTTCCAGTTTACATATTGTCTCAATAAAACCTGGACAATTTTTATTCTTTTATTGTTTTTAGCGAATGTCAGCAGTTTTTAGGGGAAAATGCAGTCATTAGTGAGGCTTGATGGCTAAAGTGCTAGAAATGGGGAAATTTAGGACATTTTGAACAATTTCCGTTTTTTCACTGAGTCCCAATAAACATTATCTATTGCTATATGCCGCGGTCTCCAACCTTGGCACCTTTAAGACTGATGGACTTCAACTCCCAGAATTCCTCAGCCAGCAGACCAGGGGTCTGCCACCAAATCTGGCTGAGGAATTCTGGGAGTCGAAGTCCACCAATCTTAAAGGTGCCACGGTTGGAGACCCCTGCATACGCTACTATAGTTGAGACCCAACAATCTCATAATGTCCGAAATTGCTTCTTTGTGAATAAATTGCCAGCTGTCGTTTCTTACAAATTATGACATACTGAATGCTAATCTTTAGGAGAAACCTTCTGAAGTATATTGTATATAGCACAATTAAAAGGCCTAAATATCCAGGTAAGCATAGATTATGCATGAGACCTTGGATGTAGTAGTTGGACTGGATTTTATTTTTACCATTTTGAGATGCCTTATTGTATAGCAAAATTAGTCTTACTTTAAAAGCAACTTAACATAATGGAATTTATTTTCTGAAAGACTCCTGGACTATTATATTTGTTAATTCCATTAAGAGATAACCAATCTTTGTTCAGATCAATTCTAAAATGCTGAAAAATATTAATGCAGACTAATATATAATATCAATTGGTTGGTTTTCAGGACCATATAGTTACAAATCAACAAAGAAAGAAATTAGGAAACAAAACATTCAACAGAATATGCAAGAATAAAGTGAATAAACTTAAACAGTCCTAAGAAAATAATGCTATATGTTAATAATTAACATTTTTTTAGAGATACACTTTTATAGCAAACAAGAGACATTTCAAGAACAATAAAATAAATCCCCCTTCTGAAGAAAAGGTGAGATTTCAATCTCAGAGAAGTCTGATTTCATAACTCCCTCTTAGCAAAGATGTTACCTCTCCAGTATCAAAAAGCAGGAATAACAATAAGGAATTCAGTGGAAGAGATTTTGGATCTCCAAATTTCAGTCCACAGGCTTTCATTTTGGGGGGAACTTTACAATAGTCTTTCCACTGATATAAATGATGCCTCTTTTTGGAGAAAAAAGATTGGGCTGTTGTCTAAGCCATTACTGATTAGAGTTAAAGGTATCAATTGAATGGTAAAGTGAAGAAGAGAGCCAGATTTCTTGGTCTATTACTGAGAACAGGGGTGTCAAACTCAAAGCCTGCGGGCTGGATCTGGACCTTGGGGCCAGTCTGGAAATAGCAAAGGACTGACCCGTAGTGCCTCTGCTAGCAAAAATGGGGCATGGGCGGGGCCTAAAGGAGCCTCCAGAGTGGTCCAGGAGGCCTTCTGGGCCCAAAATGGAACCTCTGGAGTGGTCCAGGAGGCCTTCCAGGCCCAAAACAGGGCCTTAGACTCAGGAGGTTATAAAAGGAGGCAAAGTAAAATATTTTACCTTTCAGGCTTGCAGGATTCTGCTACTGTAGCCTATGTCAACAATTTTGTAGTTCTAGTCTTCCTATGGAGTCAGTTTCTTGATCTGGTCTCTCTCTCTCTCATAAGGTGATCAAGTAGATCAAGTAAGTATTAAAAAAACAAAATCACAGAAATATACGCTTCCCTATTTTTATAAGTTTATAAAACCATGTCTGGGGAGGTGTGGTCCCGTGTCACTTCCACCATGACCATGCCCATCAAAGCCACAACCCCACTGGAACTCCAAGGTCAAATCCAATCCTGATGTGGCCCTCAACGAAATTGAGTTTGACACCCCTAAGAACATTTGTCTTATATTCAACCTAACTGGTTTCAATCTGGGTTTTGGGAAATGTGTTCATTAATTATTATAATAATTTCATGGGAAGAAGAGCTTACTTCAAATGAGCATCTGAACTACAAGTAGGTGAATTTCTAAAATTAATCGAAACTTAAGCATTGACAAATTAATTTCCTTGTATTGTTTAAATATAAGCTTCATATTTAATGATTAAAATGTATTTTAAAACTCAACTGCAGAAAACAATTAACAGTGTAAGTACAAGTTATTTCACAATGCTTCTACAATGATATAAGTATAAAACTCCACCTACCTTTCTAAAATGCCATTTTCCTGTGGTATAACTCCATTGATGGCTGCCTGAAAAGGAAGCACAGAGCATTTAATTTTCTAGACGACAATGATAACTGTCTAGTTTTGTGACCACAGTATGAATGTGGATTGTTATTGTCATGCTGGAATGTTTTCCGATCTCACAATGAAGTCTACAACTCTGGTTTTCCTAGGAAGAATCCCATCAAGTGTTCATCAACCTGATCATGCTTAGTATCCAAGGTAATGGAACATTGCCTGTTGACATATGGATGTGTCCCTAAACACACCAGAAGTGAAGTTTAAAATGGCCAAATTGGAGATGAGAAAGCTGGTTTTAAAAAAACTGAGGAAGTCTTCAAATACATTGTCTGCCAAGTTATTAATACTAAGGCTATGAAGATTATCTAAAACAAGCTCTTCACAAAGTTTACTAGTCCAAGCAAAGTACCCTTTTTTAAAAGCTTTAAAGTAGTCCCAACCCGGGTATCGCAAACCCCCTCCTCAGCCGGCAAAACCCCTTTTTCCCAAGGCGGTGGAGCGGCGGTCAGCAATGGCCGCCACAAAGAAGCCTGCAGCCGGGTAAGATTTGTGCAGGAGGAAGCACGTGAAGGTGAAAGTTTTGGCAGAACCGGGACTAGAAGAAACTTTTAAATACCCTGGAAACTAAATCGTTTGAAGGATACATTGTCTCCCAAGGAAGATCGTAAAAGCGGCGAAAAAAAGCTGAAAGGGAAAGTTACTTTCTTTCACTCTCCCTTCCCACAGAAACAGCAGTTGGAAATCTGGAAAACCTGCTTGGGCATAGAAGGTAAACTTGAAATTTAAAGCCAAGGGGATAAAGGATTTCTGGACATTGGAACTAAAAACTTAAAATTCTTTTTATTTGCTATAAGTGGAAGGGAAGAGGTAAAGATTTATTTTAAGATTGTACTGAAGGAGACTGCTTTGAGTTTATAAGATCAGAAATAAAAGGTATTACAACTTCTAGAAGATTACTTTGGAACTGTGTATTTGAATTCTACCCTAGGAAGAGAAAATATAGAAAGAAGAAGGTGCTAAATGAAACTGTTTGCTTTGATTTGGTTTGCTTTGAGACTTTGGGATCTTTGTGAACTATTTCTTGAAAGATTAAAGATATTTGGGTTGTTTCAAAAAAAGGGAAAAAATGACATTATCTTTTGAAGAATTACAAATGGAATTTCAAAAATTGAAAGAAGAGGAACAGGAAGGCATGGGCTCTTCTGGATCTATTTTCCACTTTTTAGAAATGGCGATTTCTACTTATCAAGAAATACAACAGCGACAGGAAGGCTGGGATCAAGAAGAAGAAGCCACCTTTAATGGACAAATACTCTTAGTGGAGGAAGAAAAGCGTGAGGTGGGTAAAGAAATGGTGAATTCAGGACTTAAAAAAGCAACCAAGAAAAAGAAAAATAAGATGAAAAATCGATATGATGTCAGAAAGCAACAGAAAAGAGAAATACAACAGAGAGGGAAGATAAAGAGAGTGAAACTTGAGAGATGGGGGGGGGGTCAAAAAGCTAGAATTGACAAGAAAAGAAGGGAAAAAGCAAAGAGAAGTCATAAAAGCTTTAAACAAGATGTTAAAAAACAGGTTTTTTTCAGAGATAAGGGGTAAGATATAGTTTTATAAAAATAATTCTGCAAAAGTACATAAGATTGTATGGTAGATATTAGTATTTGAAATTGAATTAGAAAATTAAAATATTACATGAATTAATAATGCATTAAAGGGAAGCTATGAAAATGTTTAAGATTTGATAATAGAGTTTAATTTACTATGAAATATTGTTCTTATTATATTATAAACTCAATATTCCTTTTTTCTTGGTTTTACTATTACTTATTAAATTTAATATTATTGGCTTGTTTTATTATTTTGAAATGTAGTATTTAGAATGTACGAAGCAGAATCAGTATGGAAAGTATATATTATCTTAAGTGTAAAATTTAGGGGAAAGATAAAAAGTTGTCATACTTCAACCAGTGGTTACAGGAGAAATATTGTATTAGAAAGAAAGGAAAAATAGATGATTGAAAGAGAACGGACAAAAGATGCAAGTATAATTATTTAAATTGAGATGAAATAAATAAAATAGAATTAAAAGAATGAATAGGAGAGAGAAAATATATAGAAAATATAGAATGTTAAATAAGATATGAAATAGTATATTATGTGAGCATGAATTTGATTTATGTCTGTATAAAAAGATCTAACCCGGGGTAAGCTGCTTTCCAAAAAGAAGTTTTATGTATTTATGTTTTGTGTAATGTTTGTTTATGTTTGAAAGGATGTTGGAAGAGAATTAATGAAACTATATATAATGAATATATATAATTTAAGGCAAAAGAAATACAGTTAAACAGAAGGAAAGGGAGCAGTAAAGAGAAGTTGGGAAAGGATATGAAGTTGAACAGATAAGATAAATATATATATTAAATTGTGTTTGTATAGAAATGTGATAATTTGGAATTATCTTGTTTTTAAATAAGATATTCTATGTGTTTTTTAGAAAAAGATATTTTATGTTACTACATCCTATGTTTTGTTTGCTTGTGTATGTTTTTAAAAAAAAATTAATAAAATTTGTTCAAAAATAAATAAATAAAGTAGTCCCAACCCAGAAAATTCAATACAGCTATTTCAAAGGCTTTCCCCAGCAGTTTACAGGCACATGCACACAAACAGATAGATAACCAGAGAAACACGGGTGGGATTCAAATTTTGTAACAAACGGTTCTGCGGGCATGACTAGATGGGCGTGGCTAGATGGGCATGGCCATGTTACTGGGTGGGCGGGTGACTTTTTTGTAGCAGCAGCCCCCCCCCCCGTTTTTTTCAACCTTCTGGGCCTCAGGGAAGCCTCGGGGGGGCGTTTTTGCTCTCAGGAAGCTTCCCTGGGGCTCAGGAAGGAAAAAGGCTGAGTATGGGGGGCGCACAGCACCCCCCCCCGTGCTCCATTTTGGGGCTTCCTGCACCTCACGGGAGCCTTCCTGGGGGGGGGGCGTTTTTGCTCCCAAGAAGGCTTCCCTGGGGCTTAGGAAGGAAAAAAAACTGAGTATAGGAGGGCACACAGAACCCCCCCTGCGCTCTGTTTTGGGGCCTCCTGTGCCTCAGGGGAGCACAGGAGGGAGTTATTTTGCTCCTAGAAAGCTTCCCTGGGGCCCAGGAAGGCAAAAAATGGAGGGGGGACAGAGGTACTTACTTACTGCTTCCTGGGCAAAGCAGTAAGTAAGTGAGGGGAATCCCGGCACAGCTAATCATAGGAACAGCTGAATGTTGGGAGGGGAAAAAAAAGAAATACCTTAAGGAGTGACTGGGCGGGGAAGAACGCAGTCAGTGATGTCTGGAATGCGTGCAATGTTGCGCATGTACAATAAGGACTGACTGGGGAGGGAGCGGAGGGGCGGGTGGAGAGGGGCAGGGCCAGCCAGGAGCATGATTTGCCAGTTCTCTGAACTGTGCAGAATCATAACTATAGAATCGGTCCGAAGCGGTAGAATCCCACCCCTGGGAGAAAGGCTTCAGAGCAGCTGTCCTAACCTTGTAGGTAGCAACTACTGTAATGCTTCAAGGAAAGTGCAACATTCTTTGGTGCCAATATGCTTTTTGAAATAACTTCTCTCAAATGCTTTGCATGGTCTTAATTAAGATACAGTACATATTAATAATCCACATTAGAGAAAATTAATTCAGAATGATCAAAGGCGTATTTCAAATGGATATAAATCAGTCATTAAGGAACGGGGAAAAGTTTCTGTCATTCTAAATGTAGCAGGTCAGATAATTGCTAAAATTGGTAAACAATTAAAATCTGTTGATAAGAATTTCAAACATGCATGAAGATAAAACTGGGATACTAATTTTTTTTGCCACCAAAGAAAATGCAGACTCATACTCTGCATTTATGACAAATTCTTTTAAGTAACAAATAGAATTGACAACAATGCCCACTCACTATTTCCAACCAGTTTGCACAAAACATGGGACCTAAGGTGAAACATATAGTGGCACTACAATTTTTTTAGTTGGCTTTTCTTTTATAAAAAGATAAAGAAATTCAGAGAAAAAGTCAGACAGAAGGTAAACTACCAGTGATAACCAAAGACTATATGATTTCCTAGGCAAAACTAAGAAGAGAAATAGGTAGAATAATCTTGCTTTATTTCAGTGTTCAAAAACAGTTATGGCTACTGGAGTTATAGCCAATGCCTTCCATACACTTAAGCTACCAGTAAATGGCTGTTCCTTACTACTGATGTTAGGGTATGCAAATTTACAAGAACAATATAGTATTGAGGCTTTACTCTCTATAGGAAAAATGTGGCTTGATGAATCCTAGAGACAGGGCCTTCCTGGTGACAGCCCCATATCTTTGGAATTCTGTCTCTTCAAAGTTAATCTGTTAAAAGCTCATTTATTTACGAAAATAAGCACATTTAGTAAATGTTTCTACCCATCTTGTCAGTGAGAATTAGCATGCTCTCCATCCCCATTGATTAAACCATGACCCAGAAAGCTAGTCTTTTCTGTCACAGTACCTGCCTTCTTTAAATTATCCCCAGATATCTGTATAGCTCCTACCTGAAATGCTTTTAAAGAGGTATTTAAAACCATGGCTTCTCCACCAAGCCTTGGGCTAGGATAGGTGATAAGCCTTTTAAAGGATTCTGCATGTTAATTTGAATTTTTTCTTGTTTTATATGCAACATTCTTTTCTTTACTATCTAGTGCCTTGATTTGTTTAATGCTGTTTACTTTTCTTTTTCTTTTATTATTTATTGGCCGCCCATCTTACCACAGAGTAACTGTGGTATTTATTGCCCAGCCTTCATGAGATTGGCAGCCTTATAAATTTTACTAATAAGTAAATTAATAAGTACTACTATGAGTCACCCTTATTCAAACATATTAAACCACAAAGTCCCTATTCTATCAATTACAATATAATACATGAAAAGAAATGTGACACCATGGTCAGAGTACAAGATTAAATAGGGAACTCCAAGTAATACTCTCTACT